CATTTAAAATTGGCTAAATTATTACATTAAATTCAAATTTCAGGTACAATTCTGCATCAAATTAGTGGCCTCATTTCAAATCCAGTAGTTAACTCAGGCATTCATAGCTTTTATTCATCCGTTCCACTACTTTTGATGGCTATTAGTAAGTTCACCGTTGTCCCTCCAGACTATGGTGACTCCTCTGACGCAGCAGTTCTTTAACTTCGGCGAGCTGGAGAACAGCATCATGTACTGCATCTGTGGCGTGGAGGTGATCGCGGGCTTCGTGTTCGTGCGCTGGCTGAGCGGGCGTGTGGCGGAGCGGGTCGTGCTGGCCGTCGGCCTCATCCTCTGCAACATCTCCTGCGTCTGGTGCCTGATCTTCCTGGCCAATCCTCAGGGTGAGGAGGAGGAGGAGGAGCACGCCGGCGCACATGCTCAGAAGCTGGGAAATCCCACACGGCTCACACACCTTTCTTTGGTTTAGGTGGATTTGCGTGGCAGCTGGCGGAGTTCATCATTGGTGTTTTCCTTCAGGTCCTGGGCCTTCCTTTTGTGGCGGTTGCCCAGGTGTCGCTCTTCTCCAAAATTACATCACAGAAGACGCAAGGTCAGTTAGTAGTAACAAAATGAAGTAAAACGAAACGCATTACAATGCATTGAATTCTGAAATGATCACTATTAGTGGCCTCCATCTTCAGTCTCACCCCAACTCGGGTCCAGAAAGTGAGTCCTACATCGTTGCGACCGCGATGAGCCCAATTTTTTTGTATGGGACGATTTTTCAGAGTGAAGCCTCAAAAATGTACCCATGGGTATGAATTATAATAAGTCCATAATTCATAACTCGCATTCGGACTAAAAGTGTGGCGGTGCGCCGGACCGGGAAAAAAACGCCAGATTCGGTCACTCCAGGTGGGCGAGACTCACAACTTTGCGTATTCCCTCACTGTTTTGAAAATCGCTCCGTGAGCGTTCGGAGCACTCTCTGGAAATTGTAAAAGAGTGAGGGAGCGTCCGATTCCTCTGAGTCGGGTATCGAAGCGTCCGGCCCGCTCTCCTGAGAACATCGATGCCTTCGTTTTCGACGTACGCCTTGCGGATCGATTTTTACAACGTTTTTTGGCCTTTACTCTGGCCGACCGGCAGTGTTGGGGAAGCTACTATGAAACTGTAGTTTGACAAGCTACTAGCTACTCGTAAGTTAAAGTAGTTAAACTACAGTCAAGCTACCCTTTTGGAAAAGTAGTTAGCTACACTACAAGTTACTATCAAAAAGTAGCTAGCTACATTGAAACTACTTTTGCTTTTTTTGAACAACGTATATTATAAATAACTGAATAAGTGTCTGAGGAATGTTTTAAGTAAAATATTTAGTGTTTAAAACAATGCAATACAATTATGATTTCAAAGAGTATTGTTTTATTACACACAACACTCAAATATCTCAGACTGTTTGTCAAAACACGATGGCGCAAACGTTAGTGGTCTTTTATGGTCATTACCAAACTGGCGGACAGATCATGGCGGGTCATTGTAATTAAATCAGAAATAGAAATTTGATGTAACATAGAGAGCAATAAAGCAGGATAATTAATACTTTTAAAATGGCCATTACTCGCCTGTATGTGCGTCCTTAAATGCGTGCTTAATGTCTTCAACGAAGACAGCGTTTTAAACTTTGGTTTGCAAAGATTGCATACAAAAGTGTAACCTTTACTTGTCGTTTCTTTGAGATACATGAACTTGGACAAATAAGGCCATGGGTAATTAACGTTAGTTGTTTCTCCATCCTCCAAATCTGCCGCCACGTCTTGCTTCATCATGGGCTGTGTCAATCCACTTCTGTACGTCAGTGAACCGTTAGCCGCAAGATGCGTGATTAAACAACAGGTGGCGGTAATGGCAAAAAATTAGTTTGAAATCTAACAAGAAGAATATCCTTGCATCGCGCTGATTCGCGCAGGCTCGACAAAACGCAATGTAGCTTTTGCTCGCGCTACACCGCTACTTGCTGCAAAAAGTAGTTAGCTACTGGAAAAGCTACACTGTTTAAAGTGGTGATGAACTGAAAAATCAAATTTTGACATCTAAGAGGTCATCATATTATAATAATATCCTGTAAGTTTCAGAACTGAAAACGTCCTTGTTAGTCCAATAAAAGCTTTTATTGACACCAGGCTCAGCAAACGACTCGTTTTTCAAAGTGGGGAACTATGACGACAAAGAGGATAAAACACCACCCCCGCAGAAGAAGATCAACGCCTACTTCAACACGGCCGGTTTAGCCCCGCCCACCGATTCGCGCATTACACGAATCTCATTATAATATGCAAAACTGTTATCCACTCACAGCAGTGGGCGTTTACTTCCAAGTCTTCAATGCGAGACGCCCATAAAAACCGAGCGTTTTTGAGCTAGGCTCAAAACTAGGGTAGAAAATAGCCTATTACTTATTCATTTTGATGTTTTTGAATGTAAAAACCAAGCGAACGTCATAAGTTGACCTCAGACAACAATATAAAAAAACTTAAAAAGCCAGTTCATGACCCCTAAAGCAACTGAGCTACTGCCAAGCTACTGAAAAATGTAGTTAAGTTAGTAGCGTCGCTACTTGTAGTTAACTACTCCCCAACGCTGCCGACCAGTACGAGGGTAAAACCAGAGACGGGTCGCGTTTGATGTGGGATTTCTCGCTTGCCGAGCGACCCACAGCAATGTGCTTGGGCTCGTTGCGAGCGGCAAAACACACGCTTTACAATGACATAAAAATATATGTATACCGGCTTTCGTGACTCCGAAAGACAGCCGTTTTTGTGCAGTGAGTGTCACGATCCAGCGGCGAGCCCTTAATCGAGGCCAATTTGACCGCTGTCCTCTCGGGCGGACAACGTACAACGTTTCCAGCATTTGGAAACGGCAAATGATACACTTTAATTTGACACAAAATACATGAAAAAAACTACATTTTTGGCTGAAATACAAATATTTTTGTATGAAAACGTTCACAACAAAGCTTTGGATGACCACGACAAGGGTGATCTGACCCCTGTTCTCTCGGGCAGCGAACAACGTACAATAGTGGGCTTGGGCTCATGTGAAAATGCAAAACATGAGCTTTCCGATGATATAAGATTCGCTCTGATTGGACTTTGTTTTAATGAACAATAAATAAATTCGTACGGGCAGCTTTTCAAAACATCTGCCTGGATTCACTGGCCTCGTGGCCTGAAACAGGCTCTCTGGCTTTTTTTTTAAGGGGTGGTTGATTATAGTTTCACTTTTTTAACTTTAGTTAGTGTGTAATGTTGCTGTTTGAGCATAAACAACATCTGCAAGGTTACGACGCTCACAGTTCAAAGCAAAGGGAGATATCTGCTTGAACAGAAATAGCTTTTTAAGGACTACAACAAACGTCCGGTAGGGACTACACGAGCTTCCTCCCGGGTTAGTGACATCACTAACCCTAAAATTTACATAAACCCCGCCCCCAGAACGCAATTTATAGATTATCATGACAGAATATGCTAATTGAAGATAGTTAACTCCACATCAGCTGCATAAATTCATCAACTAACCATTCAGAGATGTCCTGTTACATTCAACATGTTGTCACTTCTTCTTGAGTCTCTCCATCTTTGTCCTGAACATAAAAGGCTAAAAAGTTTTTTAAATTTTCAGTGTGTGTCTGCGTGAGGTAATCGAAGCTGCTAACACACACACACACACACACACACACACTGGCCCTCTGTGCCGGGAGCAGCAGCTCATTTGCATTTAAAGGGACACACACACAAATGGCGCGTTTTTGCTCACCCTCAAAAAGTGACAATTTTAACATGATATAAAAAAATATCTGTGGGGTATTGAGCTAAAACTTCACATACACACTCATCAGAGACTTATTTTACATCTTGTGAAAAGGGCATTACACCACCCCTTTAAACTTTTAGGTAAGGCTTTGTCAAGCAAAGTTCATCTAGACAAACTTTTCTAGTATTTCTGGTTCTCTAGTCGATGTTTGCTTAGACGAAGGCCTTGTTTGTTTGTCCTCAGGATTCAGTCAGGGGATCCGCCGCTCTGTGGGAGGACTGGCCACCATCCTCGGTCCTCTCTGGGCCGGCGGGCTGACCTCTGACCTCCATGTGATGATGGGGGTGATGATGGGTCTGCTTGTCCTGCTTACCGTGAGTCTTGTTTGGAGCATCTAGTGCACACATGAGAGTGTGAGGACACACATTGAAGACATTTGAACAGCTAAACTCTAACTCCTTGTGAATGATTGACAGATCATGATGGTGGTGTCGTATGAGCGTCTGGTGGAGCCTGTAACGGTGGACAGTCCGACAGGCGCTGAATCTGAAGACTGACACAGGTACTCCACACCAATGATGTTTTCGTCAGTGATGACGATAACGAAATGATTTCGTTGACGCACTTTTATTTTATGACGATAACGCGACGATGACTAGCTAAAAATGGCTCTAAGCTGACTAAAACATGACGAGACGTTTTCGAGTTTTCGTTGACGAGACGAGACAGAACGAAAATTATAATAAGTCTGACGTTCACAATGCATGTCATTTCTGCCTGTTTTCGTGCAATCTGTCTGTATTGAGCTAAAAAAAAAGTATCAGCAATGCTGCCGTTTCCTATCCTTGTTTTGGGTAACGTTACGCGGAGCACCCGGCCGCCGCGCGCGCGCGCCAGATTCATCACAGGTTTTATCGTAGTTTAGTCAACCCAATGGAATCGGACAAAAACTACGATAAAACCTGTTGGAAAGCATCTTTTGCAGCCATTTTTGTGTGAGCATATCAGTGAACATCCCTGACCACTCGCTGAGTTTCACGTCTTTGTAAACTAAAGTTTAATGCGTTTTATGAATGATTGTTCCAGTGCACATAGACAACCATTGTGTAGGTGGGGGGTAAACCTAAAATTCTCGGGACAGCAGCATTTGTCCAAATTTCAATCTTAACCGTTCTATTTCATCAGAAACGATCTTAAAACAGGGCTTTAAGTGTAAAATACCGAATTAACCATTTAAAGACCAAATTGTTTACAGTTTTCAGGAATTGTCTTATTCATTTTTATGTTCAACACACTTCAAGTGTCATGTTTGTTTCATACTTTATATTCAAGTATGCATTCCTAACAACCTATGTTCAATGCACCTTATTTTTTATTTATGTTATTATTTTGTTTCAGAATGTTTGCAACTTTGCAGTTTGCACAAGTTAAAGATAGACAGGGTTGTATGATGTTTGTGTTTACAAATAATATGCATCTTGTTGTTGCACTGGCAGACAAGTTGAAGTGCAAGTTGTAGATCATAAGTATGTGTTCCTCAATAGCTTATATTTTGGGCACGTTGTTCATTGCACTTTAGCAATTTCTCAAATAAAGCCACAATTGCCAAAGTAAGAATGTTTTTATTCCTGGCTTTTTTGGAGTAAAACAGTGATTCCACTGTTACCACTTTATCTGTGTGTAATGTTGTAGTAGCTCAATTTTTTTGCTGTTTAAACTTTAAACCATTCCTTTATTACTGTGATTACTGGTGAAAATAGCATTTAATATTCATGGAAAAACTATAACTTGAAATATGGGGATAAAAGGTTTCTGCCCAATGTGACAATGAAGTACAGCTTGGCAATGGCAGCACTGCATCTCCATCAATGAGAAAGTCTAGTTTATTATGCAAAGGTTTTAAGGTTAGCTGTTGTTTTATGAATTGCAACACTTGCTACAACCTGTCAAACCTAAGCCCATTTCCAATACTTTTTGACCTAAATTAATTTGTTAAAGACTAATTTTTTTTCTTTTTTTACTAAAATTGACTAAAACTTGACTTAAACGTTTTTGTGTTTTCGTCGACTAAAACTTGACTAAAACTATTAGGTTTATAAGTGACTAAAATGTGACAAAAACTTAAAAGCATTTTCGTCCAAAAGACTAAGACTAAAACTAAAAGGGCTGCCAAAAACAACACTGCTCCACACTTGAGCTTTCGACTGCCCACGTCTCACATTTTTTAGATGCAAAGACACGTTGTGTGTGAATGGCCCCGAAATGGGAGAAAAACCAAAGGTCCGTCTAGCGCATGTTTCCAGTGAAAATAATGGAAAAGCATTGCAGTGGAAAGCAAAAACGCATTCTGTGGACACGGCGGCGTATTGTTTCTTCTGTTGTTGTCTGGAGTATCCGAGGCATTCGCTGTAAAGGCTCCGCCCACTTCTGGAAAAGGGGAGGGGAGCAGCAGCTCATTTGCTTTTTAAGATACACACACGGAAACAGCGTGTTTTTGGCATTTTGGGAATGGTGTAGTAAATGATCTGTGGGGTATTTTGAGGAGAAACGTCACAGACACACTCTGGGGACTTATATTACATCTTGTAAAAAGGGGCCTAAAAGGTCTCCTTGCTCACATGACTTATGCCCCGTTTACACGAAGGGAAGACGCAGATACTTCCCTGCGGTTTGGCCTCTCATTTACATGAAAACCCCCGTTTTTATCACAGAAAACGATTATTTCTAAAAACTCCGGCCAAAATGGAGATTTCTGATAACGCCGGTTATGTGTTGCCGTGTCGACTGGGAGAAACGGGGTTTTAGGTTCTCAAACGTCACATTATGCGGCAGAAAATGCTTTACGTCACGTGAGCGGCCAGTTTGGCAGAGTTATGATGGCGCTCAGTGGTGGTAAGTAATGAAGTAAAAATACTTTGTTACTTTACTCAAGTATTTTTTTCGGGGATCTGTACTTTACTTGAGTGTTTTATTTGCATCTACTTTCACTTTTACTCCACTACAAAGTCTACTTTTTACTCTAATACATTTCCCCATGCCCGCTCCAAGTATTTATTACACTGGCTTTCCAAACCAATGAAAAACTTGTTTTTCTTTTGAAAAAAAGAACGCGCAAGCTCTTTGCCAGCATACGCTCACATAGCAGTCAGTTGGCCATTGACCGCAGAAACCGGTGAAGGTGCAGCTCGCGCTGCCAGCAATGATCCCAAGATTCCCGACAGGGATCACCCATGGCCATATATCAATGATATGTTCGAATTCAAGTCAAGTCTTCTTCATTTATATAGCGCTTTTAACAATGGAGATTGTTTCAAAGCAGCTTTATAGAGATAAACATACAATTTACGGTAACAGAGATTCACTTCAGAATTCACTGAAGTCAATGGAGACTCTTATCGGCTGAAATGTCTTCTTTGCCTGCCACGGGTGAATGAAATTTCAGCATTCAAAACTTCACCCTCAAATCTGAGAAAACATTGAGGTGAGTTGACGTTAAAGCAACATAAAATAATGTTTCCAAAATCGTTTCAGCGGTTCATCAAGTCGTAACAGGGTGAAAGGCACTTCTGCCTTCGCTTTGTGGTCCTATATCTGCTAGAACCACACTATATAAGTTTGCTAGATCGGGTCGCGTTTCTGTAGTTCGAATGAGACATAAGAAAACTACAAATTTGACTTGCTTTACGGCAAGCGTTACAATTGGACATCATTCACTCTAAAGCCGGTGCTGGATAAACAGTGGATAAACAGCGAGCATGCGTGCGACAGTAGGCTGCGGTAGGCTAAATTATTTACGACAGCGGTAACGGACAATGCCGCTTCTAACCTGTAGGGGGACCGCAGAGGAAAAGTTCTTAATGTTACTATTGTTAGGCAAGTGATTTCATATTGAAATGTGCCTTGTAAACAGCTAGCTAACAAATCCTTAATTGCAGTATCTAATCTTATCATTTGTTCAAATAAAACATTCCATATCACTCCCAAAACAATTGATCTGCTTAATTATTGATATTTACAGTTAATTTGAATATTTACTTTTTACTTTCGGTACTTAAGTACGTTTTGAATCGGATACTTTTGTACTTTTACTCAAGTGATGTTTGAATGGACGACTTTCTACTTTTACTGGAGTAATTTTTTATTTAGGTATATATACTTTTACTCGAGTATAACTTTTGAGTACTTTTGCGGGTTGATGTAAATGACAACTTTTTTTAAAAAACGATGTTGTGTGCGCGATGTTATTATTGAAAACGGAGGGGGGGGGGAAATATTAGTTTCTCTAAATACCCGGCTATGTGTAAATGTGGCCTCAATCATGGGTTTCTTCAAGTATCATACAGTTATGATGTTATTTAGTATCCCCCCCTCCACTCCCCCTAATATTATATAGAAACATAACTTTTCCCTTTCCTGTCAAAAATGAGTCAAGAAAGTGTGTTTTTTTAATCACAAATTTATTACAAAGGAAATGTAAGGTCTAGTTGAGTATATTGTATAGTGGGGTATTGTATGAATTTATTCAAAATATAAATTTATTCAGTTCAGTTCATGTTTTTTAATTGGTTAATTGAAATTAATTTTGATTTTGGATTTTGAAATTATTGAAAAGAAACTCTGATCGAGTAGTTTGGCTAAATGTTTATTATTATGAAGGGGGAGAAAAATATATATTTTTACAAAATTGATACATTTATCATGAATATTTCCTCACCACAAGTCATGTGGTACAACCAACAAGCAGAATCATTAAAAAATACATATTGTTTATGAATACATCATGTGTAAAAAAAATATTATTGTTATTTAAATTAATTAAAATTGATTTAGTATATTATTAAATTGAAACTTGAATGATATAAAGTTCTTTTTTTTTCAAATATAAAATGAATATAAAGAGTGCATTTCAATCAATTTGCTACAATTTTTATGTGGCATGGACAACTTTCTAAATAGTTTTAGCATGTTGATGAATATGACTATGTTAAAATATTTGGTTTTGATTATTGCTGCTATGTATTAGCGACTGCTAATAGATACACACACACTCTGCTGTGAACATGTAAGATCTGCTGCTGCATAAATACACATTAATCCCGAATCAGATCTAGGCAGGGGGAGCTGGGGAGGTGGAGGGGTTCAGAGGAACTAGCTTACAGCAAACACTGAACCAGACTATTTAAATGTTCAGCAAGCGATCTCATTGGCTGCAGGATCAGCAGAGCCAATCAGCTTGTGTCATGCGGTAATGATGAGATTGCTTGCAGATTGCATGTAAAGGACCATCAGCCTTAAATAAATACATCATTTATTTGTTTCTAGGTGTGTGCCGTTGTTGGTGAGCAAGCTGTTTACTGACACATTGAACTCCAATAAATATTTTGGAAGCGGTCTAGGGTCGATTCTCCGGTGACGACTGAAGAGAATCTGCATTTACTGCAGGAACAAAAGTAAGTGGCGGTGAATGCAGCCTTCAGGAGTCGGGTAAGGGTCGAGGAGGGTCTTCATCTCTGCTCTGTGCAGAGTCGGATCAAGACAAAGACTTTATACTACCACATTTCTACTATATTTCCTATGGAAATTGCAGGAGATCAGATGTTTTATGATTAAGAACGAACAGGCCACATTCAGAGGGAACATCCGTTTATGTGTTTCATGATGTTTTTTATAGTAATAAAGAGATTAATGCATTCAGTTTAGGGCAATATATTTTGGAGCTGCTGACTGATGATTGAAAAAAAGATATCATATATTACTAATGTGTTTTAGAAAGCTTCAGGATTTATTTCTTTCTTTCTTTTTTCCATTTGATAAGACTTCTGCTACTTTCAATAGTCATATTTTACCACCTCAGGCCTAAAGTACAGTAAGATATGTCGATTATAATTGAAGAAAAAATAATAACCCCATTACATTTACTTTCTCAAAAATATTTTGTAAACCCTGTTACATCTGAAATGTTCTGGGGTTGAATTTTACAGGATTGAATATTAGAATATTTCTCATTTAAGCATCATTTTCTTATACCAAGAACAATATTTGTTTCTAAAATGTATCATACAAGATGACTTGATATTGACAAAACATATATATTATATTTTCATGTCATTAAGATTAAACTTATTTTTTAAATGTCAGCATGATGGGGTTGAATAGTAAGTGCAAGAATCCTGTGTATAATCCTGCATTATCAAAATATAGAAAATATTACAAAAATAAAGAAACCAGTGAAAGCAGAAATATCCATTTAAAATGCACTGGTGTTTAATAGGGACACAGAAATTGTACTATATTAAGATAAATAAAAACTAAAATATTTCATGATGTTTGTGTTGATAAAATATTAGATAGATGTTAATGGCCTGTTCAACTGTGTAGAATACAACATTACATCAACTGTACACTAGAGGACACCCTTAACCCAGAACAAAGTACCAGCAACCTTCGAGAATGAGAAATATTGAGGTGTTTCTGAATCCGTGATCATTTAATATCTCTCTTTTTCTCATCTGCTTTGGCTGATTGTAAAATGCCAGTATTTGTTCGTGAAATTGCAATGATGATCACTACTATGCAACGACATATACTCTTGTCAATTCACATGTTTATAAGAATGACACTATAGTTTTTTTCTTTTTTATAATTAAAAATTTTGTTATTCACAAACATAGAATGAATGTAATTGTCGTTTTAACATATTCAATATACGTGTCATAATGTGTGTCATGAATTTGCACAATTTAAGTGTGTGTGGCCAGACATATAGCTTTATGTGGAACCAACCATATTTATTTATTTTTTATGTTTATTAATTTTGTTTTTAGTGCAATTTTATGTCTTGTGTTTTAACGTGGTGAATTTAACCTTTCAACTTTTGATTCATTTACATTTGGTCACACTTTATTATGTCAGATTTTTATTTGACATTTAGTTTATGGGTTTATGGAACCTACATTTAGTGGGATCATTAATACAAAATAATGTTTATCCTAGACACACAATGCTCTTTAATTTAATTTAATTTTTTTAAATAGCTTCTTAAACATTTCCATACCGGAAATAATGGAGTCCGTGTCAGCCATAATTGTATTTTCTTTTCTTTTCTTGTGTTATGTTATTTTTTCCCCATGAAACCCTATTTTTCCCCCACGCCTCTTAATAAACTGACCTTGAAAAAATGTTGCCAGGACGGATACATTTGGATGATTCAGTTCTGTTAAAAATCTCAATTTCTTTCTGTTCTCTTTATCTTTATAAAAATAAGAATGTTCCTATTATATAATATCACATTTTGGTTGATAATATTAATATTAATATTAACTGTATATACTCAGTATCTAAACATGTATTGTTTGTTGTTGTTGTTGTTGTTGCATTTTTCTATTTATTTTCATTATAAATTATATATTAAATGCAAAATAATTTTAAATGAAAAGTTGAACTGAAAAATATAACCAGATGTTTTCCAGCAAGATTTAGGAAATGTTCTCAAGAAATCTTAATTTTGTCAATATGTTTGACATATTTCAGAATCTCGCAATTTGTTATTTCCAGGAATGAATTAAATATTAATCCCAGATTTTGCTGTACATCATTGGATAAAATGCACAGTTTCAGTGCACTAAAAAAAAAGATGTTCTTTCTCAGTATTTTTGTCTTGTTTTCCAGTACAAATATTTAAACATTCATAAATCAAGATAAAGTTATTTTAGATGTTAAATGACAACAGATATTACGTCTGATTTTCTGGAAAATAAAATTGTTAAAGTCTGCCAGTGCAGACAAAAAAATAAACTTAAAAATTAATTCAAAATGTTTCATGTTTTAAGCCTAAAACTCATTAAATTTTGATAAGTTTTTAGTAAACAAGACTTGAATCAAGATACATTTAGTTGATAAGCAAAATGAATCAAGTCATTAAGAATGTTAAGGTATTTATTGGAAAATATGACAAAAAAATCCATGTAAGAAAAACTTATTTTGAAGTTGGAGCTACAATAATAGTATAGCGTTGATATTTATATTTCTTATTATTAAGCTTTTTTCACAATTACAAATTAGTTCTCCTAAAACATGTTAAATATAATATGCAAAAATGTGTTCAATAACAAATATTATTATGCATTTTCACATGAGGCTTAAGCTGAAGAACACTTAAATGCTGAATTTTATCTGTTATATGAAAATTACACATGGCTCTAAGGGAAGTATTAAAAGAAAATGTTATATTTTTACATGAAATATTTCTGTTTTCATCCATAATAGCATGATCAAATATTGAACAAATATATGAGTCTGTAGTCTGTTGCTCTGTAATAATGTAATTATTATAAAAAAAGTAATGCTTTGAAAACGCTCTGTATGATTTCCCAGTCCAAGCAACAGGGGGCGCTGTGTTTCTGTGTGAAGAAACCGTTACGCGCGCGAGTCGCTTAACGATGGGCGGAGCAAAGCTGTCTGAGGGCGGGGCCTATTCGCTGCCCTTTCTGTGAACCCTGAATCTAGACTGAGGAGGGGGCTGGTTATGAGGGAACGAAAATACGGCATGTTGGCAATGGCGAGGTATTTCGGCTATGTTTTAGAGAACCAGCTCCTGGCCCGCAGGAGGGGTCTGACCGAGCGGTGACCCGACGATCCGGGTCAGAAGTTCAGAAAATATCACGTCATAGCTGACGTGAAAGTCTGTGATTAGATTTGAGCCCCAGCCCCCCCCCCCCCCCCCCCCAAAAAAAATCAGCCTTTCCTCTTGCCCATGTATATCTATGATACCAGGTGCATGAACTTCAGATGAACCTTGCTTAATTCTTCCATGGGGACAACAAGGGTTTTGTTTGGGTTTATACTTTGTTAGAGATTCAACATTTCAAAAACACTGGAGCAATATCGGATTTTGTCAGCTCATCCGAGAAGTTGACCGAAGTTTGACCTCGCGCACAAGCGACAAATTCGGCCAGATTTCGTAAGCGTCACTAAGATGCCATTTTGTGTGCTTTGTGTTAACCTCTCAGTTTTCAATTTACGCACTTTACCATGTCAAAAACGCCACTATGACTTTAAAAATATATTTGCCGAGCGCTCTGCACTATAGGTTTTTCAGGCAGACTTTATTAAATATTAAGATTATACAGTAGTGTTGGAAAATGCTTTTAAGAGTTGTAAATCAAGTAAGTGTCACTGCCTTTAAATAAACTATCACTGGAAGTGCGGTGACCCGTGTGGTCGAGGGCTGCAGTCGGATATCCTCCTCCATAATGGATGCGAGATGCATGAAAATCTTCAAATCACGGATTATGGGCAGGAAGATTGAGGGAATGTCGAGTGTGATTCAAATTTTAGGGGGGAAAGTCATGGGTGTCGTGAAGGCGTTTGGATGCAATTATGTTGATTTTGACTTTGTATACTCAGTTTTTGTAAATGCGTTTCTTTTAAACTTTTTAAAAGTTTACAACATTTTGTTATAAAGGAAAAAAGTGCAATGTGATTGGCATTTTTATTTTCAAATTATTGGATTAGTGTACCTAAACAACATTTTTTTTGTCATCATTTACTCATGTTTTTCTAATTTTTTGACTTTTGTTTTATGCAAAAGGAGATATTTTGAAGAATGTGCTCACGCAAAAGTATCATAAAAGCAAATTGTAAAAAGCACCGTAAGTCCATATCACTTGTATGTTGTATTTGTCTGCTAAAGCGATATAATAGATTTGTTTGAATATTTAGTTGACAGTTTTAAGTCATTAATTCAGGTTGTTTAAAACATGTTACCTGTTAAATGTGTGTAATTCATGAATGCTTTAGAGTAGAAACCTTTAGTTGTTCTCTTTTTAAAGAAAACACTCTTTAGCAGATTATTGCAGAAGTGAATCTGCTTCAAAAAATGAAAGTGTAAAAAATGTATTGGACGTTAAATTTACTGTAAAGCAAATGTACTGATCTAAACATTTTCTATTTATTTTTAAATTACAAAATTATTTGGACTCTAAAATAGCAAAAAAATCAAAGCTATTTGTCTAACCAAGTTATGTTCCAAATTTGAAGTTAATATCACAAAAATGTAGCCCGCCAAATGTTTTTAATTACCGCTTCCATTGAAACACAATGTCCAATTTCAAAACGGTTTCACAGGATGATTTCTGAGTGGTGGGAATGATACCCAATTTATGATGATTACTATAATATTTGATAGGGAAAAATTAAATTAAAAAGTGTGCGAAATGTCCCACAAACAGGCTGTGTATACCTATACGAATTCGTACGGAATGGCGAAGGCGTAAAAAGCGTTATAGTTATGCCATACAAAATCATACAATTTCTATAAACTCCTAAACATGAGTTTTATAGATAACTTGACTTTTAAAGTTTTGTTTTTCAATCGATTTTTGCCAGCTCGTACAAATGAGTGCAATTTGCTCTAAGAATGAGTAGAAATGAATCAAAACAATTCAAGGAAGAATCAATCAGACTTTTTTGTGAATTGGATAAA